AGCCACAGCGTACCTGGGGGTAAGGACAGACAGACGAGGCAAGAGAAAAGGAGACGGAAGGATGAGCAGAGACAGAGACAAGAGAGGGGAGAGAGGGAAAAAAAATTCTGGGTCCGGTTCCCAGACACACTGCCGCTCGGCCCTCCACCAGCTGGGTAAGCTCTTCCGCGATACCTGGCGGCGGCACTGGATAGCCCTCAGTGGACGGCCCGACACTCCTCCGCCGCCCGGTGGACGGCGACGGCTCCTCCGGGTTTGGGCAGCCGGCAGGAGGCCCCCGTTCCCTGCTCCTCCCCATCATGGCGGATGGCAGCAGGCTCCGACCTCAGGTGAACGGCGGCGACTCCTCCGCTCCCTTACGGATGGCAGCCGTCCCTCCACGGCCCAGGCGGCCGGCAGCGAGTTTGTCCACGCCCCCTGCAACTCATTTAATGTACACAGTGTTATGTAATTCATTTCAGCTACTGGGATTTGGTGGATATTGGACATATATTATTGGTTAATATATTCCTCTATGCTTTGCGTTACAAGTGAGAGGTGATTTTGATAGTAAAATCAAGTGCACAGAACAAGTGTCTTATTATACAAACACTGATACGATAAAATACATTTAATTAATATTTACATGTAGTAATAATAATAATTGTAATAAAATCGGGTAACACTTTATTTCGATAGTCCACTTTAGACATTCTATTAACAGTAAGTAACTTTGCAACTACATGTCAACTAGCAGTTAGTAGAGTATTAGTAGACTGTCTGCTTAATATCTTCTTACACTTTCTTTGTCAACTTATTCTACTAACCCTAAACCTACCCTAACCGTCTACTCTGAGAGTTAGTAGACATGTAGTTGCAAATTAATGAGAATTAGTTGACATGTAGTTGACATGTAGTTACAAAGTTACTTAAAGTTAGTAGAATGTCTAAAGTGGACTATCGAAATAAAGTGTAACCTAAAATGGTTCCACCAGGTGATATAGAGAATACCTTTCAGTAGTTTGGGGTCGGTAAGATTATTTTCTGTTCAGCGAGGCTATGTTTATTTGATCAAAAATACAGTAAAAATAGTAATATTGTAAAATAGTATTACAATCTTAAACAACAGTTTTTTATTGTAATATTTTCTTGTAAAAAGTAATTGATTGCTGTGATCAAAGCTACATTTTCAGCATCATTACTCCAGTCTGATTTGCTGCTCAAGAAACATTTCTTATTATTATCAATGTTAAAAACAGTTGTGCTGCACAATATTTCTGCAGAAAACGCGACACGTTGTTTTTTAGGATTCTTTGATGAATAGAAAGTTCAAAAGAAAAGCATTTGTTTATTTAAAATTGATTTACTTGTATCTTACTCATATATAAATAGTTTTGTTTCATATAGATCCATGTGTTTATCAGCATTTTACAATGGCCTTGATTGCAGCTGAGAGTCAGGACTTCATGTTTTATGTAAGATTATTTTCCCCCACCCACATGACCAATGCTTACATCAGGGGAAAAAGTCATTTCAGAGACAGAGAAAGTTATTACACTTGAAAGAGTCTGAATCTGGAATAACACGCAGCTGATGAAGAGCACACAGCATGGCCAGGGGAGTTTGTTTAGACAGTAAAGAGGGTGGATTTCATGTAGATGGTATCTCTGACAGAAGATGGGGATCAAAGAGAGAGAGCTGGTCATATCTCCTCCTGGCCGTGGAGAGACAGATGAACAGATGTATGCTCATTTAGACAAATGGTGGTGAAGTCTGTCCTCTCTCCGCCTGATGTCCATCCTCTGGGCGCTTGAGATTTGAAACGGTTTCCTCTCAGTGCAATCACATGCTTAAAGAACTGGAACCAGATCCTATATGGGCCTGTGCGTCTTGGCCGATAGCGTGGAACCATTTCTCCGGTGGAGTGATTATAAAAGCGTTCAGTAATCAGCACACAGCCAACTGCCAAGTGTATGAGAGAGTCTTTGATTCTGAACTTCAGAAATATTGGGTCCTCATGCCTGAGTTTATATCTTGGTGCATTCCTGCTAGAATCCCCACGATTTCTCAAACGATTTGTTTTCTTCACTTGGTTTTTAGCAAATGGTTTTCACTCAACACAGTTTTACTCTTTGTTTTTGTTTTTTTTACGACACAAAATATGGTTCAATACCTAGAGCTGGGAAGCTGATTCGGTTTTGTTGCCCAAGCTCTCGATTCAGTTCATTTGGGAATATTTCAGACGTGTTAAGTTCAGAGAGAAAATGTCATGCATGAAGTAAAAAAATCCATCTTGATTTTAAGAATCATTGAATCGTTGATGCTTTGCAACAGGCAAAAAAGATGAAAATGTCAACTACAAGTATACTTTATTCATATTGCAACATGCTAACCTCTAGGGCTGTGACAATAAATCGATGCATTGTTAATCGAGAAATTATTCCGTATCGATTTTCGTGATTCTCTCTTGAATCGATTCTGAGCTTAGTTTTTAACAGCAGATGGCACTGCGTGCTTTAGAAGCCGCCGTATTCTGCTTGCTTCCAGTTCCTTACACACGCACCACTTGAACCTAAAATAATAATTCATAAAGTTTGAAAAGGTTGAAGCGAATTACAAGAGTGTTCACAGTGGGCTGTGTTTAAATTCATCTTGCGTTATAAAAGCATAAAAGCTGAGGTGCAAGTACATTTAACTACTTACATTACTCAGTCGAACGCTCAAGAGCTCTTCTTCTTTAGCATGTAGGTGTGCAGTTAAAAACTAGAGTAGAGCGCCATCAGCTGTTAAAAACTAATCTCAGAATCGATTCCAGTGAGAATCGCGATGCATTCGCAAAATCTCGAAATCGATCCACAAATAGCGATGCATCGATTTATTGTCCCAGCCCTAATAACCTCAAAACTCCATAAGATGCAATGCTGCTCATAAGCTCCAAATCACACTAATGAGGCTCCATTTTGGTGAGGATGCTGCCTATATAGGGAGTAGATAGCAAAGCAGCTCACTAGTGTTTGGAAAAGAGCTCATAATCCCAGCTCACCTGTGTTTTCTCTCTCCATTCTTGTTGCCCTCCAGGCTCGTACATGATGGTGGACACCTCGCAGCACGATTACGGAGAAAAGGCTCGCCTGCAGCTGCCCGTGATGAAAGAAAATGACACTCACTGCATCGACTTCAACTATCTTCTGCACTGCCCCGACGGCTCCAGCCCCGGTACGCTCAACATCCTGGTGAAGGTCAATAAAGGGCCTCTGGCCAATCCCATCTGGAACGTCACTTCCTGCACAGGCAAAGGCTGGATGAAGGCGGAGCTTGCTGTCAGCACTTTTTGGCCCAATGAGTATCAGGTATGCAAATCGTTCAGCCAATCAAACGATGCAGTGTGAGTATGTTTTCCATAGAATAAAGCAGTCGGGTTCCGGAAGTAAAAACATTTTCTGCATAGAGAAATTGATGTTTAATGCTAATTTATAAACCTTTAAAGACAGACCCTACTGGTTGTTAATTGATGTTATATGCTCCATTGACAATATAGCAACTTGTTTTTTATGAACTCTCAAGATACTTAAAATGATTGTGTATGTATATGTACATTTTGCAATAAACCTAAACTGTATTGTTTTATTTATAACCATATAACCAAAAACTTATTTCTGTATGATTTATACGCTTGTTTCCAAGGATTATATTCCAAGGATTCCAAGGATTTTGGATATTGCCATCTTTGCGGGGACATGTTGTCCCCCTAACGTATAGGGTATACCTGAACCACTCACTCACACACACAACAACAACTTTATAGATTCATATAGATCATTTTTAACTCGATTATGTCATTCATGAGCACTCTGGGAAAAATGAATGGAAAAAATACTTCCAACGCTGCAGAAAAAGTGAATGGGCACAAATGCACTCTATTAACATGATATGTTTATCTGATCAGCAAATCTGATGCACAGATACTAACTGCAAACTGACTTTTACCTCAGTGCAAATGCAGCACCAGACTCTGAGCTGGAAAGTTTTTTTTTTTTTGCATCGTCATAACTCTTAAACTCTGTGTGGTAACACATTCCTGCCGTCAAGCCCTCTAAACAAAAGTATGAGGAACAAAATCACAATGGATGTTTCGCTTGTATGTGGTATTGGCGTAGACCGGTTGATTTATGGGAATGCAGAGGTTCTGTTCAGCTTTTCTTTTGTAGTTCTGTCATACTCACAAAATGCTCCCAGTGATCACAGTAACGGCTCTCAGTAATGTTTTCCACAGGTGAAATGTCTCTCTGGGTCAGTGGAGCTCCTTCACGGGACTTTTTGTTTTTCAGTACAATAGCTTTTCACTGTTGCTTCAAGCTGTTTGAAAGTAATATTTCATCTCCTGAATACAACTACTATGATAATCAGTAACTTCTCTCTTGTTTTAATCAGTGGTGGATGTGGGTGTGTATGTGTCAGTGTTTGCCGTGTGTGTGTGTGTGTGTGTGTGTGAGACAGTGAATACTGAAAGCCTCCGTCTGTGTTCAGACTAATTGGGAGTCTTGACTGATCTCCCCTCTGTCTTGCTCTGCTGTCTATCTTTCTGCGTGAGAGACAGAACTGTAAACACCGTGATGATACAGGGTTTTCATGCAGGATGTTCATCTGGTCTTTCCACAGGTTTAGGGTGCAGTAGTTGAGCTGTAGTCTTTATAGCGGCCATCTGTTTGCTTTATCAGCCCTAAATGTAAACACACCTGTGGGGAGCGTGCAGATAGACGCCTCTGCTGGCCGCTTGCACGCATTACACGTCATGCTCGGAGAATCGGGGAGGTGCTGTTGTGATTAATATTGCATGATATTTCCAAGACGAGCTAATGGATCAGAGGGGCTTGTTTCTTCATGTCTCGATTTGATTTCTCACAGTATAGAGTTTCCACCTGCTGCCCCTCCAAACCCCCCGGAGACGTGTCCTTTCTAATGAGTCCAGGCATGTTACGTCCCTTTATTACACTCTCTCTCTCGTAGTTCATCTCTAAAGCCTGGTGTGGGCTTGTTATTTCTTGTCCTCTTTAATTAGGCACTGATGAGTCAAATCTGTTGCTGGAGTCCAGTTTATTTTAGCTTAAGTCCTGATTCACTTTGGTTTTGTTTTTTCCACCGATATCTCCCGAGGGTGTCTTCATCCCCCCGATCAGATCGTTAGTCACCGCGTCAAACGGACTCGCTTAATGAGCTGGACACCTGCCCTCAGTTGCTTTTTATTATTTGATGTCAGATTGTCAGAAATCACGCCAGAGCGCCGAACTGAAGCGTCTGAGGAGCTCTGTCTGCGTTCACGAGCGCGAGCGTCATTAATGCTATCAAAGGGAATGAGTTAAGGCATTGCACGTGTTCCTTCGGTCATCCTTCAGTTCTCATGAATGATTGAATATCGTTAAACTTGAGAGAATAAGTTTTTATTTTTTCTAAGCCAAGTAACATTCATGCTCCTTTGTGGTTTCTCTGGCTTATGATGTGTTCTTCAATAATCTTCTTTGAGGACACGAACAGAAATGTGTCATCAGTAGGGATGTGTGTGTGTGTGTGTTTGTGTGTTTTAACCCTAAACCGTCTAGCTAATTGACTAATTAATTAACTACTGGCTTGAAATTAATTAACTACTGGATATCGTCCTCTTTTGGAAGACCAAACAAAGTAGTTTTGTTTTCACAACGAAACACAGCGCCTTCACGACATGGTGGCAACAACAACAATACTACAGTGAGAATAAAGTTACTGCCTTCTTTCTTTGCGTGAACATTTGGGCGGCATTATGCAAATCTTCCCACATTGTGAGGTAGACGTGGGGGCGTGTAAGAACGAGGCGTTTTAGGTAGGCGTGGTTGACTCTTAACTTTTATAAAAAATATCTCTGTTGATTTGAGACTTTAAGTCTTTGCAACTTTACAGATCTTCTTTATGCGTGGGGGCGTGTAAGAACGAGGCGTTTTAGGTAGGCGTGGTTGACTCTTAACTTTTATAAAAAATATCTCTGTTGATTTGAGACTTTAAGTCTTTGCAACTTTACAGATCTTCTTTATGCATTAAGAGCTTGTAACACTTCAAAGAGAAAGGAAAAATTTAAATCGCATCATATGACCCCTTTAAAGGTGACATATCATGAAAATCTGACTTTTCCAGGTTGTAAGTGCTATAATCAGGTCCCCGGTGCATCTACCAACCAAGCAAACGTGAAAAATATTAACTCAGTAACTTTGTTTTGGGAAGCCTTTTTCTGCAAGCGTCTGAGAAAACCAGCGCGTCTGATTTCGCTCACTTGGTGACGTGGCAAAGGGATCTCATTATAATATTACTGCCCCTTCATCTGTACGTTTACACCCACGACGCTGTCATTTTGATTTCGCAAGCTACAACGGTGTACCAGTTCTAATGCCATGGCTAAAGTTTGAGCAAAACATGCTAACTGTTGTGTTTGTCTGCACAGACGAGCACAGAACACTGTTTAGAGTCCCAGCCTCAGACGAGACAACAGAGCAGTGCATTTATTGATGTATTTACTGTATATTGCTGCTGCCACACAGATCTAAAATAAACATGCGATTTATTTCTCAGCTGTTTACCTTCACAGACATAACCCACTGTTTTTGTAACTCGTGTGTTTTTAAGGTAAACTTGTGTGTGAATGAGAACTTAGTTTAGTACTCGCATGCTGTGACAGCCGCTTTCTGTGCGTGTGCTTCGGTTGTGTGCACTCAGAAAACCCTATATCAGAAGTTATATGTTTTGAAACACATGATTTCAGCGTGATAAACATGATAATCAGAACTATAACAGATGTTTTTAGCAGGTCTGAGATGTAAAGGCGCAGTTCTATTCTGGAAAAGGGGGCGGGGAGCAGCAGCTCATTTGCATTTAAAGAGACAGGCCCGAAAAACAGCGTGTTTCTGCTTCCACTCAAAATAGGCATTTTCAAAATGATGTAATAGATGATCTGTGGAGTATTTTGAGCTGAAACTTCACAGACACATTCTGGGGACACCAGAGACTTATATTACATATTGTAAAAAGGGGCATAATATGTCTCCTTTAAAATAAATTTGAAGTTTGCAAGAATGTTCCTAAATGCAGTTCTTGAAAAATTCTTAAGTAGTTCTCCGATATTTCCTTGAGTGATCATCGATCATTGTTGTCACCTCAGAGTACCTGTGCACTAGTAATAGTAATAAGTATTATGTATCTGGTGTTATGATGTGCTTCATATTTTAAAACAACCCCATAAATTCATGAAACATCTTACCTTTTCAGATTTTAGACAAACTGGTTGTCCTAACTATAAGAGCTTATGTACCTTGATTTTTAAGAACATTCTTTTCCAGACTTCTATTTCTTTGGTAACACTTTAGATTAGGGAATACTATTCACTATTAACTAGTTGCTAATTAGCATGTATATTTCTAGCGTACTGGCTGTTTGTTAGTTACTTTTATAAAATAGATAGTTCCAGTCCTTGATTCTGATTGGCTGAGCCGCGTTCGAAGCTGTTGTAAATTACACTACAAAGTAACACACACCTTTGTTTACTTCTGTGTGTTGCTCTGCAACCACTTTGTTGCAACCACAACTGTTTCTGAGGAGCTACATAGTTTGGAAGAATACTGTTTTTATTACCATTACACTTTATTTGCAAGTTATTTGCTTTATTTGTTTTATTCTGTGAAACCTTACTGCGTATATGGAATAACCATTTTATAAAAGCAATAAGCACCGTGAAACCGTGGTTTACAGTGAATTTATAACAGCTAAGGGGGTTTTAGGCTCTCTGCTTTGCGTCGTACCTAACAAGGCCCTTTAGCTGTTATACATTCACTGTAAGCCACGGCTTCTTGGGGCTTATTACTTTATTAAAGCACATATTAATGCCTTATTCTGCACGAGCATATTCTACATCCCTTAACCCGACCCCATACCTAAACTTAACAACTACATCAACTACCTTTAGGAGTTATTAAGGGAAAATGCTTGTAATCTAAAATGTTACAAATTATTATGTTTTATAACAATTTTAAGCAAAAGCATAAGAGCATTATCAATAAATGTTTGTGGGAATAAAATTTAAGGTATTATATTATATTTTTTTATATTATATTATAAAATGATATTAAGTATATCTGAAGAGTTTGGTTCCAAAACGCAATATACGCCATTTAAAAAAAAAAAAAAGAGTTTCCGCCAAAATCAGTATTTGCATCTGGTCGGTATTGAAAAGTCAATTTTAAATTTTACGCAAAATGCGATATCCGCCGAGTTATTCTGTCATGTTTTCTCCCTTTTTTTCCAAACCGCGACAAACGCCAGTCTCCCTTCTCTG